TTTTCCCACCGCTCTGACCGGTGCCCCAGCTCCTACGTCAAGCGCTTCATGCCATGCCCAGGGCACGTGGAGGCGACCATGGGATCTCACTCCATGGGTTCCTTTCTTGCTGGGCTGCCCTGTGTGAGCAGAGATGCTTCCTGGAAGCATGTGGGGACACTGGAGAGCCCATGCCAAAGTCTGCTGGGATCCCACATTCTGACGGTGGGAGCGGCACAGTGGCTATTCTTAGCTGCCAAAGAGCCTCCTGGTAGTTGCAAGAGGAGGAGCTTGGAGCAGAGAATTCCATGTTATAAATGGCTAAAGGCTTTCAAGGGAAAAGGCACTTGCTTGCAATGCTGCCTGTTTTTTCCCCCTCCCCTGCTGTGGAAGATCCCTCCCTCCATCCTTTCTCCCACCACCCCACAGCCCTGCCTGAAGTGACTCTGCAGTTGAAGAGGCCTGGAGGTCACTGCAGGGAAGTTCCAGGTGCTCCTTTCCCATCCATCTCCTCCTCTCCAGCCATGGGCTGTGACAAGTTCAGCTCAGGGCAAGCTCTTGCCAAAGAGGCTGCAGGGGCACAGGGCAAGGGGAGGAGAGGCAGGAGCTGGAAAGTGTGACTCTGTGCCCTGCACCAGGGCTGGCTGAGCTGTGCCAAGGGAATCTCATTCCTACGCATGCAAACAAAATGGTTCCCAGTGGCACTGCTCAAATAACAACCTGGAAGTTGGCAACTCTGCAAGCAATGGAAAAAGTCACTGTGGTGTGGATGTGCCAGAAACCTGCTGTGCAGGGTTAGGTCCCCTGGCAGTCAAGGACTGGGCAAAATGAGTCCTTTGCATCAGCCTGGTGGGCTGGCTACTGGGACCACTGAGAGCTGCACTGGAATAACCCCGTGCTGGTCCCTGGTGTGCACGTGTGCTGCCTCTGCTGAGAAGAGACAGAAGCTGCAATGAGCTGCAGCACTGCAGGCTTTGGTTCCAGCTTGTGTTGTCCCTGGTGAGGTTTAAGTTTTAAAGTATGGGTCAATTCCTTTTCCATTTGAGTCAATACCAAAGCTATTGACCATTTACAGCCTCAGTGTGAGGGCTGTGTAGGTGCTGTTTCAAGGCTCGTGTGTTGCACAAGTTACTCTTTCATGTTTTTACCCAGTGGTGTGTTCTGCATATTTGCTCATGTTTAGACCACCATTTGTATTCCTGTGCTGTTTCCCTGCTGATTCCTTTGGATAAGCCCCAGCTAACATCCAGGTTGTGTTGGTCCAGTAAATCCAGGTCAAGTACTTTTAGAATGCAGGAATATGCCATGCTTCATCTCTATCATTTTACTATATGTGGCTAGGTTTTTTCCTGCAAATAACTTTAACAATACACTATTACAAACTACAACAATAACCTTTGTTTTCCTCCAAAGCTGATGATTCTTATCCAGTCTGATATTCTTCACTTACTCCTATCTACTCTGGAACTTTACCTAGCACTGAAATGCAACCTGTCTCCAGAGAAAAAAGCAGCAGCAACTTAATAACTTGGCATTGTTACCAGCTCAAAAGAGTAGGGCTAAAAAGGTGAATTCTTCCTGGATGAAAGTATGGAGGCCACACACCTCTAATACTCACTGGAAATCCTCAAAACAAGGCTTAAACTTAATTGAGACACGGGCCTTCCCCCCATAGCTGTGTATTTCACTTAGAGTTACACATATGAAACGCAGCTCAAATAAGGAAAAAAAAAAAGAGATGGAAGGGTTACAGACAGGCAGTAATTGAGTTGAACTGAACTATTAAGGCTGTTCAGGAGGGTCTCAAGCAATTCCTCATGCTTTGAAGATGAAACTCACACCCAGGCAGTCACTGTCTGAGTTCCATTTGCTTGACTCATTTGTGCCACCTCTCCGTGGGCACCTTTGAGCTCAGGCACTGGGGTGAAACCTCTCCCTCTCCCCGAGAGGCCACTGAGGGAGATCAAAAGGAGTGGGGCCTTTCTTAGAGAAAAGTGAAGGAATACCTGGAAGGACTTGATGAAGGTCCACAGCAGGGTCCGGATGCCCTCCCCTCGGCTCAGGAGCTTCACGAGGCGCATCACGCGGAAGAGTCGGAAGAAGGTGATTGAGATGCGAGAGTTTTCCTCTGCGTTCTGGAAGCCATTGGCACAGAGGCAGGAGTTACAACAGCATGAGAGCAACCAGGGCCCTGGGCCACAGAGGAGCCTACGCCGAGGGTTCACTGCACTGTTCCTTGTCCTGCCACTGCTCCCTGGGCTTCCACTCCCTTCGCCCCAGGGACAGCCGAGGCTGCTCCGGCCTGCCCCGTCTCCGATGGTGGTGAGGCTGCTCTAGGGGGCCTCTCAAGGCCATCAGCCTCTCCCCTCAGTTTGTCTGGGCTTTCTGATTAGGGATAGGATATGCTCATACCCTCCAATATTTCTCCTCACATCGGAAAGAGGCAATTCCCCTTTGACCTTGCACTGGAGGAGAAAGACACTTTCCCTTTTGGCCTGCCTTGAGTGTTTCACCCCAGTGGGTGTCTCAGCCAGCAGTTCTGCTGAATCTGGTGTCAGGCACCAGCCATGTTCTGCTTGCTCTGCTGGGAAACAGGAGCAGGTCCCAGATTTGCCCCTGGCTGCAAAACCCCACAGGGACACCCCAAGGTGTGTGCTGTGTCACTGGCACCACTGCCAGCCTGGCTGTCCCTGTGCTCCTGTGGGCTGGCCTCTGGTCACTCTCTCCCACTGCTGGGCCTTCCTCATTTCTCATGACCCCTTTGTATTTCCCACAGTCTGAGCACTGACTTCTGTTTTTCTAAAAACATTTTATTTTGGCTTCTCTGCTACTGTTCGAGCGTGGAGTATTTTAAAATAGTCTTTCTTCTGGCCTGTTTTTTCTCACAGCATCTGCTTTGTCCCTAAAGCATTTTCCCCTGGGGTTGTAACCAGCTCTGATGTTCCTCAGCCTTCACATGTGTGAAGGCAACATCCATCTGAAGGCTGCCGCAGCAGCAGGCTCACCTGGCCTTGGCACAGGACTTGCTGCCTAGCTCAAGGGCACAGCAAATGCCAAGTTCTCCAGTTTATTAACCCCCTAAAATACTGTGCCAAGCCTGTGGAGCTGGTGCCTTCCGGTAGCAGCACTGTGGGAATGTGACCTCCTGTCACAGTGGAGATAACACTGTCACCCTGCCACTTGACCTGCTGTGAGCACAGTGCGTGGAAACCCCCTCTCTGTCCCCACCCAGGCTGCAAAGACTGCAGTTGGAGTCTAAACACCACCAAAAGAGCAACATTTAGGAGGAAGAAACAGTGCAGATCACCCCTGCTGTTAACTACTCACCACTGTGTAAACCAAGAGAGAACAGACCCTTTGGATTTCCTGTCACTGGGCAGTGAAAACAGCAGCCTGTCTGCTTCTGATAAAAGCCAAGGCACAGGAGCAGCCTGGGTGGATGCTCCTGGGATGAAATGCCCAGATGCAGATGTGCACCTGGGTGTGCCCCTGTTTCTGAGCTGATGGATGCTCAGCTCTGTTCCTGTCCCTAGGCAGGGGCTGTAGCTGGGTGCTGGGTGTGACCCCTGCTCGTACAGACAGCACCATGTGCAGCAGATCAGGATTGCACCCAGCTGCAATCTGTCTGTCTGTCTGTGGTGTGTCTGTCACCAGGTAACTTCCTCCAGGCTGTACCAAAGGCTGGCACTGGCTAACCATGGAGTAACTGGGTGAAAAAGATTAGGGAAACAGGCTGTGTTACAAAAAGCCTGAGTGCTCCCTACACCTCACATCACCCTTGTTTGATTACTTGGACATCAGGCTGTGGCCTTCAGCAGATTGGAGGGAATTGCCCTGAGGTGAAGAAGGGAATGTGGCCTCCAAGGAATCAAAAATCACTGGCACTGAATACTGTCAGTGCTACAGTCCCAGAGGGATTACTGTAAGGTCAAATACCTCTTCCAGTCCTGTAGAAGCCAAGCTCTAATACCATCTAAAACAGCTGAGGTAGCAATCTAGAGGTTGTATGGACAGCAATCATGCTGTGGTTGTGACTAAAAAAACAGAGTTTTCTTATTCTACCTGCTGTTCTTCTGGTCAGCTTGGCTCTTTAGGTGGCAGCAAGTTGGGACATGGGTCTGGACAGAGGTTTTAGTATTCCTTTGTCCTTCCTTGCTGAGAGGAGGCAGCTACTGTAGGCAGAAGTTTATCTCTGCCCTTCTAGTGTCCTGGAGAAGGCAAAGTCTCAGCAGCAGATAAAATAGAACAAATCCCTCCCTGACGCAAATGTGCAACTTACTGGCATCAAACCACTTAGCCAAAAACTCAGCCATGCCTCAGAAGATTACAGTCATTTCAAAACTGGGTGGCTGTAGATTAGCTGATGCTTGAGTAGCCCTGCTCTCTTCCTCCTGGCTTTCATCCAGCTTTTTGAAGGCACATCCTTGCCAGAGGAGGGAGGTTCTGCAACGTGGCAATCCAGAAACTGGAGCTCTCTGGGGGTGATGTGGGACCTGCCTTGCACACCAAGGCAGCAGAGTTTTGTGCACCATTGCACCAGTTACTCTTTTTTTTGTGCAAAATACAAAATCAAATGTTATAATGAATCACCTAATTGAAGAGGAGCTTCAGAGGCCCAACTCTTTCTTTTCTGAAGTCACACTGCAAAGTCATTCAGTGTCACATTGACAGTGACACAGGGACATTGTGGCTAGCAAGAAATCTTACCAGGTCCAGTTCTCTCTTGGTGGTTCATTAGAAGGCAGAACAACAGTTAACTTGACCAAAGGAAAGCTCAGGATGCACAAGAGATACACATGTGCAGCATATTCACAGCTCATGTGAACACCAGACTCACACCAATACATGACATGGCAGCTTCATGCACAAATAACTAGGCTGGGCTTGGAGAGAGAACTTGTGATCACGGAGAAGAGAAAAAAGGAGTGTGTTAGAAAGAGTGTCACAGAAGCTGGGAGGGTGGTCTGTATTTTTGGTCTTACCATAGAGGAAGAGCATTGGGTATGTTCAGCTGGCTTTAAAGAAAGGCAGACAGAAATAAGCTGTAATAAGTCTCCAATCAAGAGCCCTAGTAAACTAGGTCTTGGCTAACACAGGAGCAACAAAATGGCAGAAGAGGGCAAAAGGGGATTTGAAAGAAATGCACAAGAGGCTGGGCTTATTCCCTAGGATGCCCAGGATCAAGGCTGGCCATGGCAGAAGTGGGTACAACTGCCTCTGAATTTGATATAAGCTCTCTCCACTACCAGCACACGTGAGTCACACCCAGTGTCTCCTGAGTGCTGGACACCCTGGCAGTGGAGGTACTGTACTGGTAAAATGAGTTCAATAGAGGGGCTGATTTGGCTCTCCAGCTCAGATCCAGGCCATGTCTGCACAGGGACCAGCCAGCTTCCAGTGCATCCATCAGATTTGCAAACCCATAACATCCCAGGGCTAAAGCAACACTTTCTGTTTGTATATCCCCATTCCCTTCCACACAGTTCTGGCTTGGGAGAGTCTAACTGGCTCTCGGCAGCCCTGCAACACCCAGCACCAGCTGTGAATGTGGGTTGGTGCAGCTAATTAGCTCACTCTGCCTTTACCCACCTCACAGCAAAGCCCTAGGCACTCAGGGGATGTATTTTTAGAGGCCAGGCTGGGCTGAGCCCAGCCCTGGTCACGCCTGGAAGAGTCAAATTGCTGCAGACACTCTGCCTGATATTCCTTGATTAACCTCTGGGGCCATTTCCAATACTGAGAGCAATTCTAAAATATACCCAAGGCTGCAAGTATCCTTAGGTGTAAGAAGCAGAATTGTAAATTAAATGAAACTGTCTTTATTAGGAGTCCTTCAGTTCAATAGCAACATAATCCTTTAGGCCTAACCTCTACCATATGCCAAACCTGTCTGCTACTTTAGCAAAGTGGGAATTGATGTATTTCTGCCAGTGTCAGAATTCCCCTCTAGTACCATGGAGGTCTCCTGCAGCATGCCCCTGCTCTCCAAGGATGCTCCAGTAATCAAACTGGCATTGTATTACCTAAAAAAACCCCTGTAATTTGGATGCACAGCCTATTTTGGTGGTATGGGCAGATAAGAACAATTAAAAACCCAAGGTACACCAGCTCATTTAATAATTTGGGTTAATTCATTGGTTTGGTAGCGTCAGCTTTCATTGCTTTCATCCTCCTCTTTCACATGTTTGCTCTTGTGTTTTCAGATCACATACAGGCAAAAGTTGGCTTGAATACCAAATGAAACAGCAGTGCCCATAGAGACATTTCTTACAGGTCAGGCATAGATTTTGATTTTGTGTTGCTAGGCAAACATCTTTCCAGCAAAGTCCCATCCCCCTTCCTCTTTCTAGTTCTGCAAATCACCTTTTCTCACAGTGGAAGGACCCTTATTCTGCTGCTTGCTGCATTCCTGGTAGAAGGTACAAATGTCTCTTATGTCCTTCATAATAACTGAAATTTTTCTGGATTTTCCCTCCTTCCTGGCTGAGGGTGTTTGTGCATCTGTGACTGACAGGCTGAAGAAGCCTCTTGAGGTGCTGTGGGATATTGTGCTTTCACTGTCATTTCTTCTTCTATTCCCTGAGCTAACTGGGCTGTGTTTTAAGATGTGGCCAAAATGTACCAAATTATATCACTGCCTGTGGTAGAGGCTCAAAAGCAGCACAGGGAAGGTTCTGCTGATGCTGGCAGGTGGGATTTGTACAAACTGTGGCACTGTGGGCTGAGGTTCCTGCTGTGCTTGTGTGAGTTCATGAGGGGGAAATCAACCGCCAGCTTTGGGTTCTTGAATACATTTTTGGGTATCCCCAAAGGTTTCAGAAAGGAGACAAATCCTACCAGCTGTGCCAAAGGGGCACCCCATGGACCTGAGCACAGGAATCTGAGAATCCATTACTGGAACTTTCCAGTGTGGCCATTCCAAGCCCTAAAGCTGAGAGAGCTACTGCTAGATTATCCAAGAATCTTCAGCCTTGCCAGTGATGTGGCATGCAAATTTTAGGACAAGGACAGGCAACTGCCACCTGAGAATGCAGTGGTCACATCAGTTCCCAGGGATGGAGCCATGGCGACAAGTACTTGTAATTAAAGCCAGTGTCTATTGCCCATCTGAAGTGGACAGGATTTCATTTCTACAAATCTCAGAACAATGTGGAAAAACAAACCCTCATCTGTTTGACGTCTCTTGGAAGAGCTTTTGGAGAAGCTACACCACTGAGCAGAAAGCGCTCTTGGCTGTGTTCCCTGCTGCTGCAAGGGATTTAACCTGCAGAGGAACTTCAAGACAAGACTTCTGTCCTGCCTTTCTCCTTTGGGGCATGAGTAGCATGAACATACTGAATGGGAAAGGGCCACAGCAGGGACATCAGTCAGAGGTGATGTTCTGAGCAGTTTCTCTCACAGAGAAAAGGGATCTGAAGGATAAATCACAAGTACAAGGTCATATTTAGAGTGATACAGAAGGGAACCTGCAGGCTGAGTGGGAAAAGAAATATCTGAGGCAGGATGCACCTGTGTAAAGACACTCAGGGGGATGAGTGCAATGAGAACTGTTTGGGTAATTTTTTTCTTTCTTTTTATGCCACTATATTTAAAAAAGGCAACGGAGATGTTAAGAAGCAGAAGAGTCCAAGAAAGAGAAGAGAAGGTTCTAGAAGCCCAAGTAAAATTCAGTAGGATAAAGACTGAGTGATCCCTGCAACGTGTCTGAAAACCTTTTCAGAATATTGTTGCCTGCATACATCTCATTCATATTCAGAGTGTACTAGAACACCAGCTTTTTAGGCAGATAAATTGCTGCAAACTTGTGAGCATTCTTAGAGCCCCTACGGGCACAAAAGAGGAAGTCAAAGCTTGTGCCCATCATGAAGTCAGGATCCCAGGTAAGGAAGTCTCTGGGAAAGAAGCCAGCTTTATTCAGTGGAGAGATTCTTAAAATCTCAGAGGCCACAGCCCTGGATAAGGGAGCTGTGTTCCTGGTAATCCTGCTCTGCCTGGGTTGGGGACAGTGAGGTTTACTGGGAACTGCTTGTGAGGAACACAAACCCTCCAGGTCCTGTTGAACCTCCATGATGTCTCACAAATCAAACCTGGTGTCTGAAAAAGTTTTTAATGGGTTGTGCTTTGGAAGCTAGGAGAGGATAAAATTTGCACTCCAGGAGAACCAGTCTCAATCTTTCAAGAGCAATATGTAACAGAGTAAATATAGTGGGATATTTATGCTGTAATGCAATCCATTCTGAAAAGGGATGATGGGGTTTTCAGACCTGTAAAGACAGCAGCAAAAATATGATCAAAAAGGCTTTGTATATTCACAGTACTATCAAAGTTCCCTGAAATAGCCATGGCTTAGAATATTTTATGGATAAAGATTTAGAAGAAAACAAGAAAGTATGTCAGTAGGCAGATTCAAATGAAAGATTCAGTAGGAAATTCCAGAGAAGAGATATTAATCCCACCTCATTCTGGTGGAACACTGGAGACAGAGGACCATTTGGGAGGTTTGAGCTCCTTTTGGCTGGTTTGCTGACAACTGTAATGGCTCTGCAGAGAAGCAGCCCCTGGAAATGCCTGAAAGGGAGCTTCATTAGGTCTGTACAGTATGTGTTTAATCCATATAACCATGGAGGCTCCTCCTCTGCTGGGTAAGTGTCAGTAGCTGTTCAGGAGCTGTTGATGACAGGACAGGCAGGCAGCATTCCCATTGCTGATGGCAGCAATTCTTTTACACCACAGGACACACTGAAGATGAGTTCAACTCCCTTGAAGTGGATCTACCCTTTGCTAGGAAGTCCAAACTGATCTTTTCCCTGATGTTTGAGGAGCAGAACTTCCTTGCTGATAGCTTTTTACTTTCTACCAACACTTCCTTTCATAGGGAGGAATCTCTTTTTTGCAAGAGATAATTCAACCTTTGTGTTGTGGAGAGCATTTGGGCAGCTGAATGCACAGTGTTATAATTGCTTCACTGGAGTTGTCTCAGTCAATGCAGAGGTACAGCTGCAGCCTCCCAGTTATGCCTGATAGGCTGGAAGAGATGAGAGGAAATGTGTGTTTGAGATGCTGGCACCACAATATGACAGAGTAGCTCCATATTTCTCAGGAGAATGAGTGGTCAGATGCTTATGCTGCCTTTTGTGACTAGCAATCTGTAATGGCCTTTCTCCACTGAGGAAACTGTGGCTCATGGATGAAGCTTCTAGAAGCCCACTGAGAGCAGCTGGTTGCTGGTGATGGATGTCTACTAAGATATTTCCTTGATGTTGAATTTGGAGAACGAATAGTTACCCACGAAGATGCCCTGTCTGTTAGAAACTTGATATTTGTCTGTCAGTTTTGTCCCATGAGGAAGGGGTGACACATATTCACTTCTTGCTTTTTTCTCCTCACTGCAGGAAAGGTTCCTCTGAGAACCTGCTCTGCAGAGCTTCCTGAGCAGGCTGAAGTGTTGTGTAGTTCCTTTACATTTGTAGGATATTGGCCTTTTTTAGATCAAGGTCTTTAGGTCTCCTCCAAGAGTTCTACTTCAGCCATGCTGCATCTGTGACTTTGGACACAAGATGAAGTGTGGCAAGAGATGTTTTGAGGAAATTAACTCATTAAAGCCATAGGTAAGATGTGGAAGGGGAATTAAAAGCACACATTTGGCAATGAGAAACCCCACTGCTCTTCTGGAGATGTTTCCTTCCCATATGCTAACACTGAGATGGGATCTCCAAGGTTGTGAGTTTCAAGAAGAATAAGAATTTACCAAAGTATTGGGGAAAAAAAAGAGTTTTAGAAGTTATCTGTGCCATAGAGACATGGTAAAAGAAGTCACTAGACATCCTCCTGTATTTGTAGTGTCAAAAATCTCAAGTGACCTCAGGAAGCTGAGCTGCACAAGTCTTTGTGGAGAGCTGGAAAAAGTCAGGGCTTCAAATCAACCTGACTGCTGGCAGGTAATATTCTGCCATGGCACTGGGGAGTTACCACAGCCCCTTCCAGAGCCATCTGTCTGCCACTGCTGTCTGAGGCTTTAATCACAAGAGCCCTGGAGATAACCCACCAGCCACCAAAAGCCTCTGAGGTTATTATGAGGCCAGGCAGAAATGTATCTGGTACTTCTCTGACAGGGAATACTACTGGATTGCAGATGGCATAATTGTAAATTCCCACAACCTTACAGTGAAATCAAATTATTAGCAGGGAAAAAACAAACAAACAAACAAAAAACCCCCAAAAAATCTCCCCTGCAAAAATCTCCCCAAGAACAAATCAGAAGAGCTTCTCAAACTGTGCCATCTTCCTTTAAGTAAGGAGCTCTTTGAAAATTTCTGGGAACATTTTGAATAAAACTAGCCAAAATTCAATTTTTTTTCCCCCTGCAAAAATATTTTCTGTTAGAAGAATGCTGATGCTGAAAGTCAAATGTTCTGTAGACACATGCCAATTCTGAAACAGGCATTTCAGAAATGTAAGGTTGAAATCTCACATTTTGTCCTCACACATTTTAATTTGGTTTACATTTCCATTATAAATCATATATAACTGAGAAAAAAAATCAATGCCAGATTAAACTGCTTTTACTTTACTTAAGCATATGTCTTGAATCTTGATTATTTCAATAAAAATGATCTTTTACTGAAAGTTTTTCAACTTTAAATTTTCCTTCTATTTTAAAACAGAGAAAAATGTTACAGGGGGCTTTTGGAAACAAAAAAATCGAGCCTCTCTATAGCTGTAATCTGGGTGAAGCACTGGAGGGTTTTTTTGATGATTTAATGCCTATTAGAGAAGGGCACCATCTTACAGGAAAACTGGGAATTGAGGGACGTGATGCTGCCTTTACCGGGGCAAATAGTGAACACCTTGTGGATTTCCCTGGGAAAAGCTCTGAGGGTGTTCCAGTGCAATATAAAATGCTGATAGGCAGCTCTGCAGAGGAGACTGAGCTCTCCTGCAGCAGGGAGTTAAAATTTCATTTGTTGCAAGGAGGGCAATTGGGGAAAATGCAACATCTGCAATGGGGTTTGCCATTACATTTCTGCCTGCATTAACTCATGGGGGCCAAGAGACACCAAGAGTCAGCTCATCCAAATGCAATATATGTGCATTTATACTTCACTGATTCCACATGATCTCAGACCTCAGGGGAAGCATTACCATATCCCTGTGCAACAAAAGCCTGTTTTGAATACAGTTAATAAGGGCAAGGTAACTTCTTGAGCAAATGAGTCCTGCAGCTATCAGTTTTTTCCCCTTCATTTCCTATGGATTCTAAGATTTTGAAATTCTGGAGCTTGCTTTACTAATTAGCTTCTAATATGCAAATCATACAAATTTGAATAGCTTATAAATTAATTATATATATATATATATATATATATATCCAAAAATTGTCAGACAGAAGTCTTATGGCTCCAAGTGCTTAAGGTAAATATAAGGAAAGTCAATTGCTTTTATTTGGTTATGCAGATTAACCTAGATTGACAATTAGAGGACAAGTAATGAAAGGACTGCTTTTTCATACAGCTAAAAGCTCTATTTTTTCCCCATGACTTTCAGAAAAGCAGAACAATTGGTAAAGTATATATATGCAAATTATTTTTAATTTTCAGGATGTTTTAATAATCCTTCTCATTAGCTTTGGGAAATCAAGTCTTAGGGTAATCAAGTCTGGGTGGCTCCTGAGAAAGCAGCAGATACTAACCACTATCAGAGATGTAATGCTCATCTTCAGGTACAGCCACTGGTCTGACTCAGAGAGGCAGGTGCAGCTGGCCTGTGCTTCATCATTTGAGTTCTGTGGGACAGGCAGCCAGAAGAAGCCCTAGAACATCTGGATGAGAAGGTGCTGAAGATGAATTGAACCATGAAAATAAATGTTCAAAGGCTACATGTGTGCAGGGCTTTTTGTTTTACAGGTGGAGAGACTCTGAGGATCTTCTGTTTGAGTAAGAGAAGAGAGGTTTTGCTGATTTGAATGCCTCTGCCAGCAGCCATGTGTGATGAACTTTTTTTCATTAAACTTGGCTTTTCATCTGACCAGTTCTTGATTCACAGGGCAATGGCTCCCAAAGGAGATGATCAGGGTGTCCCAGCCCAGAGCAGCCTGAGGGGATGACCTTGGGAGCAGAACAGGCCACTGAGCAAGGAGGAGAGAGAGCAAGATGAGAGTTCAGCTTTCCAGCTTTCCTCACTTCTATTTCCATCCATGCCAACTGTGTCCTCATTTCTGTTCCTGAGCAGTCCAATGTGCTTCACTGCATTTCCTGAGGCAAAGTTAACATGGCTTTTAAACATCAAACTCAGCAGTGTATTTATCACTGTGCTGGAAAAGGCAGTCTTCTTTTCCTCCACTTCTTTAGAGAGATTTATGTTCTGAATTATATTGTTCATTGCTCTCTTCCCTTTTTTTTTTTTTTTTCCATTGTCTGGGAGGGAAGAGGGAGAGAAACCTGTGGGACAGGTTTTCCAAAAGGAGCATGGCCTGTATCTGGTTTTCATTCCAAGTAACAGATATTTTCAAATCCAGGCTGTCCCATCCAAAACACCCAAATAAATCCATCATCTTGACTTCTTATCTGCAGCAGTGTTGTGAAAGCACAGCTGTTGTGGAGGGCTGCAAACTGGGAGATGTTCTCTGACACACTTGGCCTGCTCAGGTTCTGGTCTACTAAGACCATGACACCAATTTTGTTGTCAAAATAAAACAGAAGAAAAAGACTGTTCAAAACATTCATGACAGTCCAAATGACTTTGTTGTGCACTGTGTAAGAACTGATTTTTCCATTTCTTGTGGCATCCTACAGCCTGCCTTGGAAATGAGAATGGCAACAGAGCTTGTCTCTGAGATGAACTTCCCGAGCCACTTTGTGTCCAACACCTTGCAATGCTCCATTGGTGCTGAGAGGGTGAGTGGCATCTACAGGCTTCTTCTTCCCTGTAGACTGGTGATTTATGAGGATTTTGGTGATTGATGAGGAATTAAACAAACTCCCAGAGGCATGTCCTTCTGCTGCCATGGCTGTGTTTGTCTTCTCTGCACTGGATGTTTGAGCATTTCTGCAGATATTTGTTAATTATTTCTGAATTAGCTGATGGCATTTCATGGTGTGGGAAAAGGACAAGGAAGAAGGAAAAATGAAGAACAGAGTGAAACTTGGTGCTCTTGGTGCATTGGTGTTTCTGGGGTTTCCCTGGTCAGCCTCAGGCTGAAAGGAGGAGGGAGACCTTTGGAATTTGTAGGGTTCCAGGAGCACATGAGTCCAGAAGGAAACCTCAGAAACTTCTTTGTGGTACTGCACAAGTCCTGATTACACTGGGGGTGCCAAGGTTGGAAGGAGCCCTGTGGTCTGCAGTAAAATCCCCACTCCTCAGTACAACTCTGGGGGCTGCTGGAGCCAGGGAGACACTGGGGCAGGTTTTCCTGGGGAGGGAGGCAGGTAGGCACCAGATGAGAGATTCCACATGCACTGTTGCCAGGACCCATCCTTTGGGAAGCCCAGAGGCTCTGGGAAAGTGTGAAGATGGATGAGCCATCTTGTGCTTTGGTGAAGGTGCTTAAAGGAACTGCACATGCAGGTGGAAGCAGGAGAAAACCCAATCCACCTCGGTTTCAAAGCAATAGGTTTATGGGTTGCAAGAGGCTCTGGATGACTGTAGATGAACTATCAGCCCCTGTCAGTTTTGTATAATTAATCTTCGCTCAAGGGAGGATATCCAGGGATACCAGCAGCCCAAACAGAGAGATTGTTATGGACCATTTTCACCTGAGATTTGCAGCAGCTAGTGTTTAATTCCCAGTCTGTGTCTTTTCATTGCCTTTTAAATTAGAAAGTTATTTAATGTTGATGCAGAATATTTCCTAGGAAAAAAAAACAGCCTACAGACTCATTGGATTTCTGTATGATATTATGGGATACAATGAAGTCTGTATGTGTCATTCTGGGATTTGAAATGCCAATCACAGGCATTATCAGAAAACATTAGAAGTGGTCATATGGAGACTGGGAATAGATCTTACAAAGCTACTTAGCAACATTTTCTTCTACTACACATCTTTCCAAGAATAATTATTGATTTGATGAATTCTTTGGTAAAAAAACCAAACAAGGATAGGGACTGTTTAAATGATATGTAATGCTTATTCTGTGTGATTTACTGTGTTCAAGTATGGTCAAACAGTTGAATCTCAACTTCCCTGTCTCTAAACATCAATTTATTTTGATGTTTTTCTATTAACAAATGTTTCTTTACAGCTGAGGCCTCTTTGCCTTCATGTCTGTTCATCTTATATAATGATGTCTGGCTTTGGATGAAGATTTTCTCCCAGCCCCTCAGACAAGGCCCAGCAGGCAGCACTGCTGGCTGGTGTCTCAGAGCTTCAAAGTGGAGCTGGACAGAACAACTGGGGTGCCACCAGCTGGGATGTCCCATTACTCTGCAACAGCAATTAGAGCCAAGTCACATTCTTTGGCCATCAATCAGCTGACCATGAACTGATTCCAGTCCCCACAGCTTGGTCATCTGGCTGCAGCAGGGAATAGGTCCCATTTAGCAGATTCCCAGGGTGATATATGAAGCAGAAGTGGTTTTGTTGGCATCTTGTGCCAGACAGTCTCCTCAAAGAATAGATCAGGGAATGAAGGTAAGAGCACAGCCATTTACAAACCAGATGTCTATGAAGAAATAATAAAAGAACCACCCCTCTTGTGTTTGCCTGGCTGGTGCATGAGAATGTAGAGGAAGCAAAGCAAGAGCTAAATGAGAGTGCTATATTGACTATATTGGAAAGGGTAGAATTAATTTATATGTGTTTACCTTTGATTACAAATCTGGGTGAGCAGCAAAGCCCCCACAACTGGATGTGCATTTGATGGGAGGTCTGTACATTTGGGTTTGCAGACTGGTACCATCACCATGCTGAAAGGCTGCCCAGTGCCTCACACAAAAGGGGAGCAGCTCTTCCCCTGGACTGATGGGATCTGGCTGAGGACAGAGAGGAAAATCTAATGCTAGATAAGATAGAGGGGGACTTCCTACTGCCTTGCTGCAAATATCTGCTGCCCAAGAGTTCAGCAAAATTGGGACAAAATCACTGGGGAAAAGAAGATGGGGGAGAAGAGCAAGTTAAAGAGGAAAACAAGTAAAAAATGCTTGTGTGTGTCTATCTTCTTCCATCACCTCCACTGCTTTCATTGCAACTGGCAGTGCAGCCTGGGATGAGTTAGAATTTCTCGAAATATGTACAAGATGGTGCACACAGTGAGGTCTTGTAGCACCAATTCTAAAAGCTCTTGTGATTTGCATGAAGAGCAGGAGCTTTTGCAGCACAACTGAGCGAGTGAAATGCAGGGGTTTGTGCCCTCTCTGTTACTGCAGCCTGTGTATGGAGAACAGCGACACTGGAAAATTCCTTGGGCATTCTCAGCAAGGTAGGTCTGAGAAAAAAGAAAATTAAATGCCAGAAACATCTTTCACTGCTTCAGGGAAATGCCTAAGATGGCAGAACCAGCTGGATTTGAACTCACCCAAGCACCTTTTTGACCATCTAACTTAGAGTGCTTAGAGATCGTTAATTAACATTAATATATTTAGAGATGATCTAAGGAATCAAGAGTCAAGAAAAAAGTCAAGAGATTTTCCTGTGGATTCATATAAAGATACAATTTCTATCAGAGTTCAGGGAAAGTTAAAAGAAACTTCTGCTAGGCAAAAGGAATGATTTATCCTGGCTAGCAAGCCAATGGAAAAAAATAATCAGCTTAGGGTAGCTCTTTTTAATTTGAGTGTTTTAACTAGCTTTGTGGAAAAACACATTGGAATTAAGAGGAAAATGAAATATAACTGTAATATATCACAGATGTTGATGCCAGAATATTGTAGTGGGTTTTTTCTTCAAAGTATTGTGATAGAAAAATGACAAGTAAAATTAAATACTGGTCAGAAAAACTGCACATAGGCTTTTAAAAGAGCTCTTTGTCCTGAAATGTAGCTGTCATATACTTATTTTTACTATTGAACCAACACAGGGCAAGGTCTGTGGTTCTTTGTGTTCCAACTATTAGCTTTTACTATTATTATAGCAATAATTTGCAGTCCAATAAGAAAAGAGGACTTCTGCTCTAAAGGCCTTCAAACCCAGCAAGGTTTTGAGTATGTGCAAGCCTGCTCTAATTAAAAGCACAATTCACTCCTTAGGGCAGCCAGTGAGATGCTGTGGGCCACCATTTAAACCATTTTCACTCAGAAGGACTCCAGACAGGTTTATGCATCAGATCTTACAGTCATAGGGCTGTCTAACTTTCTTTTTGCTGCCTTCACATTTAGCTTCTAAAAATTTGTTCTCCTGGATTCTTTATCTTTGGTTTCTCCTATTTTAATTAATGAGAATGTGTGTGGTTAAATTTTTCCAGCAAGGCAAATTTATTTTTATGCTACTCTTAAGTTTTCCCTGCATTAAAATACATTCTGATTTTTCCATGGGCCTGGAATAATGTCAGAAGCCAAGTATAACAATTTTGTGGAAATCACAATATTGAGGTACATCCTTAAAATTGGGTGGTATGAAGAGTCTTTCAAAGTGGGAACTACCTGCCTTCTTCTTATGGAGCTAGCACTGCTAGCAACAGCTCAAACACTCAGGTAAACTGAAGAAGGAGTAATTTGCATTTACTATCCCCTTCTTTTGCAGAAAATACATACTTATTTCTGATTGTCCATATTTCATATAGATTTCCATTCAGAAAAAGTTGTGCAGTTACCAAAATCACCTCTTTTAAAGAGCAAATCACATTATGAACTCTGGAAATGCACTCAAAATACCAACATTTTAAAGAAAAGAGATTAAAATAAAAAAAGAGGCCCCATTATTATGACAAGTATATACATAAATAAATAAAAAATAACCCTGTTCAAACATGGTTGTGGTTAGATAGTCATACCATACTTCTTTCTCACCAATACAGGGTGAAAAACATGCACTAAAATTGTTGATTAAGCATGGGAAGTGATCAAATTCAAATTGATCTAAGCCTAATCTGTGGAAGAGTCCAGGGCAGCTCTCCTGATGTTCTTCAAACGCAAAATAAATCACTTGCCACTGCTACAGCTCACAACCATGCTTCAACATGGTTTCCTACAGCTGGGGCCACCGTGGTGTGTTACCTGAATTATTCCAGTGATAAAAACACCACCAGATTAAAACAAAAAAGAGAGAAAAAAAAGGCAAACTCAATCCACCCTCCCCCCCAATCAATTTTAGCAGCAGTTTTTCCCAAAAGAAAACAAGTCATATACACATACATATACACGCACACAGGGAGAGCTCAGGACTGTGGACACTTCTGGGATGGCGGCGGTAAGGGAGTGACAACACAGGATGGCAAAAGAAGCCACTGTGCTTCTCCAGCCCTTTGCTACATAATTTGGAGGCCTCTGCTACCCAGATGGCATTTGAGAGGGGGAGAAAGGAGAGTGAGGGGAGATGTTTTCTGCCTCTTTCAGAAGGTTTGGTTAAACGAGCTTGCGAGCTGTGGGAACCACAAAGATTTGGTGGCGGCAGACGACGGCCAAAATCTGAGCAGCAAAGGGCGTGGAAGCCGAGAGAACCAGACAGGCAGAGAAAGACAGACAGACAGACAGCACAGCGACAGAGATGAATGGCAGTCCCAAGTGAGGTGCAGGCTGGGTGCAAGTCGTCCTTCCCGCGATCCTTGCTCCCTTGGAGGGAGGGGTGTGTGCCCACGAGGGCGGCAGGGCCGCGCTGCAGTCCTGGCGCAGGCGGCGCCGCCTGGACGAGGACTGCAGGGCCTCAGCCCTGGTTCTCTGCCTTCAGACACATTGGTTGGGAGTGAAAATGAACTCAGGGGGTTTAGTGTGGCTGGAGAAGGGGAGAGGAAAGTGAGGGAGAGAAGGAAGAGAGGCAGGGTGTGGGTTAAAAGGGAGGAGTGCAGGAGAGGGTGAAAGGGAGATTTAGGTACAGGCTTTCAGATATTCTAAAGAATGGGAGCAGGAGCTTGTGGCAAATAATATGAAGCCTCTTGACACCAAAAGCAAGATGATTGTAAAAAAAGGCCTCATGCGCCTGGTTTAAACATCAGAAATAAAATAGGCTAAATGAGAAATCACTGCACAAGTCTCCAAGTCTTGGGAGCTCAATGCTTTGGTATTTCTCTGGCCTTGCTGCACCAGTACTCAGGATTAAGTCAAGCTGCAATGCTCTGCTGACTTCTTAACAGAATTTGGAAAACTTTCCAGAAGTGCAAGGTATAAAGTACTCAGCTCTCCTGAACACCTGAAGGACAAACATCAAACCATTACCCATAAGGCTGGGGCAAAACAGACCTGACCAACATTTTTAGGGAAGTAATACACCAAGGTGGGGTTTGTGTTTTCTTAACCTTCTTCACAGGGGGGCTACTTCCTGAGGCACCCAAGTCCTTTGTCTCCCAGATGTCCACACACAACACTGCACTGCCCTCCTGTCATCTCTCCCATTAAAACCCCACCATTTCCATCTCAAACCACTTGCAATGTTCACTCTTAGGGAAATGTGTGCTGCTGCAACAGGAGTGCATTTTATGCACAGAAATATTCCATTATTTCACAAAAACTCTCAAGTCACCAGTTCCCTCTCCCTGACAGTTCTCATCTTGTAACCACGCTCACCCCCTGGCTCATCACATCTGCTGCATGGCCTTGTGTGGGTACCTGTGGTGGGTAACTCCTCCTCCCCTGAGCCTCCTGCAGGGTTCACAGACACACTCAGACACTGTGCAGCTGTGGCACTGAATGAGCAGGCAGGGTGGCCACCACTCCAGATGGTTTTCTCAGTCATCCTCATGCACCCCAAGCACAGCTGACAAACACAGAGGCACCTGCACATGCAGACGTGCTCAGAGGCACCAGCAGAAGCCCTCAGAGGCAGGCCCACAGATAGGCACAAACCCTCCCTCCCTGACAGCCTTTCCAGACAGACAGATGGAATCAAACACTCAACACCCCCTCTGTCACTGTGCTGCTCTGGAGACACAGGTGCTCCCACCTGGACGTGCCCCTGGAGCTCTCACAGGCCATGAGCAACCCCCAGAGGCTCCTCCAGCTCCATGGGCACTGATATGAGCCTTGCTTTGGTGGCAAATGAGGACTGAGCCATGCAGTCCCTTTGGTCTGACACTGGCAGGGGGAAGGGTGAAGGAAAAAGGACCCTGTGGACCAAGGCAAAGTCAGCTTTCCTCTCTGACCAAGAGAAGGAGGTCACATGAACACCTTTCCCAATGATTCAGGGTCTGTGTTTCTTTCATTACTTTGGGCACTGTGGCACAGCAGAAATGGAACTTGATTTTTCCATTTGATACAGAGCAACAAACAATAATGAGAAACTTTCTTAGCCTGGAGGAGGAAGGGACAGCAGGCTGTTAGTCACCTTTACAGCACTCAACTCCAGGCTGTGTCTGCTGACGTGGGAAGGAAGGAAGTGCTGCTCTGTGCTTGGAGCTACTTCTGGGATGATACAGTCCCGACCTGCTGGGTTTTGTTCAACTCCTATCAGATTTATTTCCAATTATAATAGAGAGTAATAATTTTTACCACCTCAACATTTTCTTCTAAAGGGGTTTTGCAAACTCAAATAACAATACTTTTTTAACATAAGGAATAATAGCTGTCTCCACTGTTGGGAAGACTGAGGTACAGGGATCTAATAAAAGTCCAAGGATTATAACCCACAGGCCCTACATCCCAGGCCTCATACATTATACCATTTTTCTTCTTACTCCTAAAAACCCATTCTTTGTCTTGGTGACAGCTGACAACATGGTAGAGGTGGTCTCTGCCTTGGAAGTTCTTTTTTTTAACAAAAGATTTAAAAGTAATTTCCTCCCTCTTTAGTTACTTAAGAAGTGGCATAAGAGTGCCCCAAAAATGAATATTTTAAAAAAATTTTTGGGGAAAAAAATTTTAAAAAGATCCTAATTTTGTGGCTAGAAAGTTAGTTGTACAGCAGTCACTGAGAGGAAAGCTCTGAAAATGCAGCTTCAGAGTGATGCAATTTAAAGGTGAATGTGGGAGAAACTGTGCCACCCTGAAGTTTTTAAACCCACCAGATTCTGACCTTCTTTGTGCCCTCTGCACTTCCTCAGTTGTGTCAGATGCCTCTGGGTGTCTGTGGAGCTCCTTGGGGGGGCTTGGGAGATGTTCCCAGGATGCAGGAAGCAAGATGGACTTACTGCTTAACATGATTGAGCTTTTTGCTTGACATAACCCCCACCATGGACGTGTTTTATGTGAAGGCTCCCTGAAGGACTCAGAAATGCTCAGGGTGGGGCCTACCCTGCAACCCCATGGCTTCCCACTCTTTTGGAATGCACAGCCATGCTAATGAAGTGCTGAGCTGGGCATGCAGGTGCACACTCACCCACGGGCATGCAGGGGAGCATTCCTGCATTCAGGGAACTCCCAGGCACACTCATCCATTACCAACTCTCACAGTGAGACAGTCACACGGGCTCAGTTACACACACAGCAACCCCTGAATCCACCAACACCAAATACACGTGAAATTCTTGTGCTTGCATTCACACTCCTTTTCCCCCCACACATGGATTTATGTCTGGACATTCTCCTGTGGGGATTTGTAGCCCATACAGGCATCCAAACACACTTAGGGACATGGAGCACCAGTAATGGAGTGCACACACAAACACCCACCCATGCACACTCACATATATCTTAAGGAAGGTTTTGGTCTGGGAAATTCCTTTTTCAAGAAACAAAAACATACGTCAAAATAAAAAATGAAAGACAAACCAGAACATGGGGAACTGCACAAACAAGAGCAAGCACATAACTACACACACACTGTGGAGGCTGTCAGTCAGTCAGGGCTCTCCTCACAACTACAGCTCTGTGCCTGTTGGCTTTGCTTCCCCTGAGTGCAAATGTGTGCTGAACCTCACACATTTCAGGCTTATGCCAAAGACTGCAGGTCAAACTGACCTGTGCCAGGAGTGTCCATCTTCCCTTCTAACTGACCACAATGAGAACTGACCCTTCATTCCATGAGCAGCACCTTCCAAGATCCACAAGCACTTTTCATCTTCTAAGGAGTTCAGCAGAAATATTTTACCTGCACCTGACCAATCTAAACATCTCCTATCAGTGGAGCTGGTTGGCATTTTAGGGTTTATGGTTTCTGTCCTTTTCAGACCCCAGGTCTCTTGGAACAAGACAAGACAGTGTACAGAAACACAGGGCAGGGCTTGCTCAAGCCCACAGACAGCAAGGAAGCAACGAGCCCCCGAGGAGAGGGGAGAAGTGTGTCTGATAAACTGCCCCACACTGCTTGGCAAGATGACAACTGGCCGTCCAAGATGGGCTGCTACTTCCAAAGCCCATTTTCTACAGCTGTAACATATCAAGTGCTGCTAGCAGGGACGGAATCTGACAGGACAAACCAACATACAAAACATTCTCTTATTCAATAAGGGTTATAAGTGCAAAGGGATTTCAGAACATTTCAGAACAAACTCAATCCACAGCTGCCGCTTATTTATCAGCGCATCAAAAGGTTGTGCAAGTTTTTAGTAACAAACATTAGAAACTAGTAGCAAAGGAGTTGCCTAGATAAAAAAGAGAAGATTTAAACATGCCAGGTAACAAAAAGATGTGTGCAGAGATCTGTAAAACTGTATAGAAGGAAAGGATTCTTTAGAGGAAACAGAGGGACCATCACACAATGCTCTTCACAGCCCTTACTAAAAGAGTCAGGGCCAACCCTGCTGCCTCCTCACCTGAGACAGCTGCAGGTTGTTTGGACAGAGGCATGCCCTCATTTTTTGTAGGCTTCTGTAACTGAAAACTGGATTCTGGGCCTTGCCTGACGTGAACTTGAATTGAGACAGAGCCTTGTGGCTGGCAATTAAGCACAGCAGCACGGACAGCCCTGGAGACTGAAGATCACAACAAGCATCAGCAGCATGTCTGTCTCAGCAAGATGCTGAGGATGAATGTGATTTATACTGCTTAAATTTGATGTCTGGGAGCCAGGTGTCTAGACAAACCTAACAAAGCTAGACACTCACCAGTCACCAGTGGGCACCTCCAAATAGCAATTTATTTCCCTGTCACAGATGTGTCCAGGGCGCCTGGGAGGGGAGCATCCCTCACCACTAACAGCAAGAGGTCACCTGGCTGTGACTCTCTTCCTCTCAGACAATGGCAGCTAATGAGGAGATGAATCTGAATTTCTTCAAAAGGACCCGTTGGATTTTCCTGCAGTCTAGGATTTCTGACTATTTATATACCAAAACAAAAGGATTTCCTTCCTTTCTGCTTAGAAGATTTTTGTATGGATTCAAATACATCAGTCAGCGAAGTCTTATTGATGTTTAATATGATTCATTTCCAGTTAACTGTGCTTATTCCCTACAGTGCCATACACAGTTCTCCCTCTAAGGATGCGAATTGAACTTTTCCACAATCTGAAGGCTATTGCCAGGCTCCCTACTTAGTTTGCTTGTGACAAGTATGGCAGAGAAAAGGTTTTAATCTCACTTTTAAAAATTAACAACTTCAGCCTCATTGTAATATCCCTCTACAAAGTCAGACTAATACTGATATCTACCTAGTAAAAGGGTAACCAAAATTGTTTACAACATTCTGTGGGAAATGTTGTAAGCAACTTCTTGTGTCCAGAAATCAGGACATTTAAGAGATGCAAAATAAAATTTCCTTTCTAGTTAAAAACTATTTTCCATTCTTTCACAAGACAAGGAAAATAAACTAGTTAAAAAAAATTATTCATTCAAAATCAAAATGTTACAGCTTGAATAAATATTCTTGTTTTGGAATTATAGAATAAAAGGAAAAAAAGAAAAAAGTTGAAAAGAAATTAAGCTAGAACTAAGATATGAAAATATTTTGTTTGGAAAGTTCCAAGTGAGGCACTTTTATTTTTCAAAATGCTGCCTGATTATTTTTCTCTAAACACAGCAATGAGTGAAAACTATGCTGTCACTTCTCTGCTTGCAATTGGTTGCCTTTACAGCACACAATTCCAAGATGGAATGTTTATTCAAGAGCCACATAATTTTAAAAATTCATGAGTGATTTGCTGTTCTTTAAGATATTTACAGCAATTTTCTTTCAATTTTTCTATTTTCCTGGCCTTTATAAGCTGCATTTTTCAGTGTAATTTTGTCCATGCTCATAACTCCATCACAGCCTCTCTTTTGGAAATTTGTGTGTTTCCTGCCTGTCCTTTGTCTATTTATCCTATAATTCTATATCCATCTACCTCCAAAAAAGAGATATAGGAAAAGGATTGCCTGGTGTGATTTATTTCCTGCACACCAGATGCTCATTTCAGTCTCCGTGGCTCACCCAGTCCTTCACCTGTCTGCTGATATGGGCATGAGTGGGGCCAATCAGTGCCAATTGGGCTGGTGCAATTTGAGAGATGGAGCAAATCGGGTTGCAAACAAAAAAAAAAGGGTTGGAACTCTGGCGCTTTGTTTTCCTTTAGGATTTCTGCTTTATTTTTATGTCATCTACCTTTGTTTGTTATTATATTCACATTTGAAACAGAACACTAGGAGCAGATTCCTCTAAACAGAGACAATTTGGTCTTTATTTCTTTTGGAGGAAGCCTGATGAGGAGGCACAGGAAGGATTCCTGTTTTGGTTCCCTCAGTTCCACCTCGAAAGAACTGACCTTTATCTCTCTGTGGGGTGGAGAGTACTGAGCTGCCATGGGAAGCACAGCATAACACTGGGCAGACCAAAGTCCTGTTCGAGCAGCTTCCCATGGCACAAAGAGCTTTTCCACTTACACTCCACGTTTCCCATCACTTTTCCTGCTATACAGTTTAATTCATGCCAGGCGGATTATGGAGGGAAGAAAATGATGCAACAGTCAAAAAGTCCTTTAAGTCGTTCCAAAAAAAAAAAAA